TGTGCTCTTCAAAGTTGGAGAGCAAATCTTATAAGCCATTACAAGTACAAGGCTATCAAACCTTAAGAACCGTGATTGGTGAGCTCTTTACTTTCTATCCAGCAAAAAATAGAAACAGAGAGAGAAAGGGAGAGAGAAAGAAAGAAGGAAGGAAGGAAGGAAGGAAGGAAGGAAGGAAGGAAGGAAGGAAGGAAGGAAGGAAGGAAAAAAAATATAAATCCAAATTGGAGCAAACATAATTAAATATTGTAGGACTATTTTGAATAATAGGACAAAAAAAAAGCAAGAACAGTAGAGGTATTTCTCAAGTTATGACCACAATTAAGCCTAAAATTTATGTTATTAAGTGAAACATTTATAAAGTGAGTTTGCCCCATTTTATAAGTTTTCTTGGCACGGTTGTTAAGTGAATCATTGCATTTGTTAAGTTAGTAACACGGTCGTTAAATGAATCTCTTCCCCATTGACTTTGCTTGTCAGAAGGTCGCAAAAACTGATCACGTGACCCCAGGACACTGCAACCGTCATAAATATGAGCCACGTGCCAAGCGTCCAAATTATGATTACATGACCAAGGGGATGCTGCCACAATTGTAAATCAGTGGTGGGTTGCTCCCGGTTCACACCGATTCTATAGAACTGGTAGTAAAACCGACAGGAGGCTCCACCCACTGACCCTGACATCATCAAAACGCTTCTGCGCATGGCCCCATTGCGAACTGGTAGTAAAGGTAAGTAGAACCCACCCATTGTAAATGTGCTGTTGAAATTTTGAACAGTTACTAAATGAATTGTTAACAGTTGAGGACTACTTGTATTAAAAACCGAGCAATCAAAAGTATACTTAACTTCCCTTTGCTTTTTCAAACCTTTTCAGCCAGTTTTCAGGCTGTTAATTCTGTACCATGTTGAACTCTTGCTTGGACAGCTTGGATTTCAAATCCCCTGTTCTGCCATCCCTTGCATAACCCATGATTTATTGAATAAACCATCATTGCTTTGAGCTTGCTAAACCATTAAACCCCCAGTTTGTGATTTTGCAAGTCCTGCAAAACCACAATCAAACAGGTATTCTTGTTTATTCGGATCTGTAAAGTCAACCGAAGTACTGAAAGGATCATAGCCACTCTTTGTAGAAATCAGAGTTTAAGGATATTTAGGTTTTTCTGAATTAGGGGAAACAGCTTGGAAGGGACACCGCCAAAGCCTTCTTTGTTTATTCTTGTGGTATCATGTAAACCATGAATAAAAACATGTCTCCGCATGATGCAGGTGGCAGCATCAGCCTGTTGCTGATCTCGGGATTATAGAAATTCCAAGGCTGTTGGCTATGAATTCAGTGCTGCCGACTAGTGTATGTGTCTGTGTTACCACTTCTTCAGGCTTCTCCAAAGGTGTGCTGGAAAGCAAAGTACCAAGCTAGCATCTTTTTTAGAAGGCCTTTTCTCACATCGGCATCAAAGAGTGTCCCTTCTTAACAAAGACAAAAAACGATGCCAATAAAGAAGAATACTTATAGCACAGGGTTGAAATGAGAAGTCCTTGATGGTCATTGACCTTGGTGGGGGTTTTTTTTCCAGATGTTTCATTGCGCAAACCAGGTAACCTCATCAGTACTAGACCTAAACTAGTTTCATTTGGGTAATAAAAAGTCTGCAAGAAAACCACCAAGCGCAGAAGTCATCATGGACCCCACACAAATGATGGTTGGGTGCCCATGTGGGTAAACCAGTTTACCCACATGCTAGCTGGGGAAATCTGGGAGTTGAAGTTCAGAAGTCTTAAAAGTTGCTGAAGTTGAAAAACATTGGGTTAGGCAGTGGGCATTCTTCCTCCAAAAAAACCTCAAACCCCACCCCCATAACCTGCAAAACTCAGGTTTTGCAGAGGGAAGAAATAAAGGAATAAAGGAAGATTATGGGTGGAAACTAATCAAGGAGAGAAGCAACCTAGAACTAAGGAGAAATTTGGTAACAGTGAGAACAATAGGGGAACAGCTTGTGTCCAGAAATTGTGGGTGCTCCAACACTGGAGATTTTTAAGAAGAGATTGGACAGCTATTGGTCTGTAATGATATAGGGCCATGATGGCGAGCCTATGGCACGCGTGCCACAGGTGGCACGCAGAACCATATCGGTGGGCACATGAGCGTTGCCCTAGCTCAGCTCCAGCACACATGTGCGTGCCGGCCAGCTGATTTTTGGGCCTTCCGGGCCCACCAGAAGTCAGCAAACGGGCCATTTCTGGCCTCCGTAGGGCCTCCAGGGGGATAGGGAAGGCTGTTTTCACCCTTCCCAGGCTCCAAGAAAGCCTCTGGAGCCTGGGGAGGGCAAAAAAATGGGCCTACTGGGCCCACCGTGCCATTGCATGCCAAAAGTGGGGGGAGTGCAGGGGTTTCACGCACGCATGCAGGGGGGGTGGGGCGCACTGAATTATGGGTGTGGACACGCATGGGTGTGACACCCCCGCACTCCCCCTGCTTTTGGCACACGACGGCAAACATGTTAGCCATCACTGGTATAGGGCCTCCTGCTTGAGAAGGGGGCTGGACTAGAAGACCTCCAAGGTTGTCCCAAAGGTGCTTTTTTAAGAGGCAACTGGACTTTCTGGTTTTTCTTTGAAGACATTTCGCTTCTCATCCAAGAAGCTTCTTCAGCTTCTTCAGTTCTGAGCTTCTTGGATGAGAAGCGAAACGTCTTCAAAGAAAAAAGGTGAAAAAAAGCACCTTTGGGACAGCTATCACCTGGATGACTGAGATTCTCCAGACTCCAAGATCCCTTCTAACTCTGTTATGCAGAGATATTGGTGCAACCCAGAAATGTTCATTCTCTCTATGTTTGTAAACACTGTTATTATGCTATGCAGTGGGACCAATGCCTGGCAGACACACTTTTTACTTCTTTCCCACCTGCACAGGTATCAGCTGAGGGGTAGAGTAAACCCCTGGTTGCACAGCAGACTAAAGCACTGTTATTAAATCTAGCTGCCTGCAATTACTGCAAGTTCAAATCTCCCCAGGCTCAAGGTTGACTCAGCCTTCCATCCTTTCTAAGGTAGGTGAAATGAGGACCCAGATTGTGGGGGCAATAAGCTGACTTTGTATAAATATACAAAAGGATGAAGGCTATTGCTTAGCGCATTGTAAGCCGCCCTGAGTCTCTGGAGAAGGGCGGCATATAAATCAAATTAAAAAAAAAAAAAACACTGGGAGAGAGCAGATAGGAGGCCAGCCTATCAGTTAGAAAATTCTGATCATGAGGCACCAAACAAGTCGGATAATCTAATTATTGGGATAAGTACTTCTTGCAAAGACTTTAAGAAAGTCAGTGTTTATTTTCAGGAAATGTTGAAAAGGCTTTCTTATTCGAGCAGAAACTGATTTCCAAAACTGCTTCAGCACACAAGTCATTGACCCTTCTTATCTAAAACAGTATTTTCTTTTCAAGATCACCTCTCTCCATTGTGCCCCGTACGAAATTCAAACAAGAACATCCTGAAATTACGTCCAGTTCCTCAATTCTAGTAGAGGATTTACAGGTTTCATTCAGAAAAGAAACCTTTTGGTGAAATACAAGGGCTTGAAACTTCTCAGAAGCAGGGATTGATAAAATAAAAGGATGTACAGATACTGTTAAGGGCTGGACAAATGCAACTCTCCCCTCACCCTCTCAAGAGTTCAAAACCCGCCTGGATGAAGATAAATCCAATCCATTCAATTCAGTCAGAGCAGTTAAATGCAAAACTATTGTTTCTTCGTGTGTGCCTGTCTGTGCACACACATATGTGAGTGCATTACTGCATAATTTGCTATTTACTGTGAATGATTGTTTTAGGAAACAATTAGGCAGAATGCTTCCAGACAATGAAATAGCTTTAAGGAATGCATGCTGATGTACAAGTTAGTCACCTTATCTGCTGTGTTAGAAAAGCAGCATCCCAAGGCAATCATCATCAAGTTCTGAGTATATATGTATGAATGCCTACCTACCTGTGTGTTATTGGGGATAATAGTTTTGAAAATAGTTTCTTAGTCTGGGTTAGGGAAATTTGCTCTCCACTTTTAGTCTATGTTAACTTTAATTCATTCTTTAATAAATAAAAAGATTAAACTGTCCAACTGTCAAGATTTCTGTGGGATAACAATAAAACACTGTTAAAATAGATATTATACTGTTAGAAAAAATAAAAACAAAAACAAAAACTAGGCAAGAGCAAGGTGTTCTAAACAACATCTAAAACAATGCAACAAAATACAATGAACATATGAAGTCTGGGAAAATAAAATGCATTTGACTGGCATCAAAATGATGCTAATGTGGGTGTCACTATAGTCTCTATCTAATTGTTTGGAATATTTTTGTTTTAGTTTTTTTGTTCCCACAATACCACACACTGTTTAAGCTCCAGTATCCAATATTCTGTTTTCCACTATCCTTTTACAGCAATGTTTCTCAAACTTGGCAACTTTAAGATGTGTGGACTTCAGCTCCCAGAATTTCCCATCCTGACTGGGGAATTCTGGGAGTTGAAGTCTACATATGTTAACAACTTTGACAAAACACTGATTTAAGAGTCTGAGAGACAGAATGTATTTTAGGTTGGGAAGCAATAAAGCCACACATGGTGCAATGAAGCAATCCTCACATTTGTGGCCCTCATATTTTGCCTTTAGTGCAGGGGTGGGCAACTGTGGCCCTTTTACAACCTGGGACTTCAACTCCCAGAATTCCTGAGACAGCTGTCTCAGGAATTCTGGGAGTTGAAGTCCACAGGTTGTAAAAGGGCCACAGTTGCCCACCCCTGCTTTAGTGGATTCTCTTGTTCAGGAAAAAGTTAAAACCAAACTGTCTTTTAAAATCCTGCTGGACCTTTAGTGGCAGAAACACCTTCTGGCAAAGGTATTTTATAACCAGTCATGCCCACCTCAGCAGTCATTTTGCGAGAGCACCCACAACATGTTCTCAAAATTCATAATGCATTCACAAGATCAAAGTGACTACCTGTGTCCTGCAGCAGACTTAGGGAGATGGTGTAGGGTTGAAATTCTGAGGATCCAAGTCCTAAGATCTAAGAGGAGACCCAGACTAAGTGACAAAACTACGGTCTGGAAGTGAAGCCTGATGCACAACTGTGTGAAATACAGGCAATTCTTTGCATTGGTGCAGGGTGGGGGAAGGTTGAAGGCAGGCAAAAAAACAAAACAAAACGAAACAGCCTTTTGGGCAACTGGCTAGAAAGCAAAAAACTTGTCAGACTGGTTTTTCTCAGCCTGGTTGGCAGTTCGAGTTATGATATACAATCTTTAGGCCCTCTGATTTAGACTTGTGATTTTCTTGTTATGAAACTTAAGTTTTTGACTCTTATGAAAAGAGGCCTCGGTGCACCCCTCTCTCCTCCCCTTCCCTGAATTCTATTTTTTAAATGTATAAAACTAGGACTTTAAAGATCTTGGAAAGACAAACAGAATTGTCTGAAGAACCAGATCTGCCAAGGAGCTGATATAAAAATATTTAATTACAAGTCTCAATAATGTTTGCTTGGCATAATTTCTCATCTGAGTGCATAAATCTTGTTAGGAATGGAAAGCAGGAATAGCAAAAGATAATCTGAAAGCTGAAATGGGTTTTAGGAAAGAGGCAGGCAGTGGTTTGCTACTAAATATGGTTTAATATTTTTACTAGGGTAGTAGTAGCTGCAAAAAAATTATTACTTGCTAGAGAGAGAAATAAAGATATACTATAGAATGCAATGCACCCTACATATTTACAACATCCTACTTAGTCACCTTTCGCCACTGAATGGTTTTGGTTTAAAAATGTATAATACATTTTTGAACTGATCACAGACCCTTCTTCTTCTACCAGCAGCATCCCAATCCCAAAACTGTGGGGGCACCTACCATCTGGAATGAGCTCCCCCCGGAGATACGGAGGATCCCGGATCTGCGCTCCTTCCGCCGTGCTGTGAAGACCTTTTTATTCCATCAAGCGGGCTTGGCCTGATCTCTTCCCTTTTAAATATGTAAATTTTAATCTGTTTTTAAATTATTGGGGTATTTTAATTTGTCTGGGCCAAAAAGTTTAATTTGATTTTATCGGGTTTTTAAATTTTGTGTATTTATGTATTTTATTGTTGGCTGTTCACCGCCCTGAGTCCTTCGGGAGTAGGGCGGTATACAAATCAAATAAACTAAACTAAACTAAACTAAACTAAAACACCTCGGATGAAAAATAAAATATCCACTTCCCCAGATAAGACTTCTCAATGCTTACCCCTCACTTATTTTTATGCAAAATGCTCAGAGATATTTCTCTTGGTGGTCACTTTTTCCCCTTGCATTTGCCACATTCTACGACCCTCTAAAACAGTGTTTCTGAACCTTAGCAGTTTGAAGATGTGTGGACTTCAACTCCCAGAATTCCCCAGCCAGCAGTCCAGACATATTCAGGTTGCCAAAGTTGAGAAACACTGCTCTAAAAGATTCCTTGCCTTGCCTTCACGGATCCTTCCCCTCCTTTCCTAATAAAACTTTTAATGGCTGTGTTTCATTTGGTCGCAGAGAACATCTCTTGCTCCAACTCTACATCGCTCCAAACTCCTGTCTCCATGACCAAATGGAACACAACAACAATTAAAGTTTATTAGAGCTCCTTGGAAACATCTTGGACCACCCAATTCTACATTCCCCTGCCTAACTATAAAATAGCCGTTGTCATTTTTCTATAAACAATGCAATTGGGTAATTTAGCAACAGTGTTGAACTCGATATCCTTCTTATTTAAACCTGATGGGTTTCAACTGGATTATTCTGACTACTCTTGGCCTCAATCCAGTTTTCATTGCGCAGCCAGTTCAGATTTTCAGTTAATGTCATCATAGAAAAAAAAAAAATCTCTAATTATTTGGAAATTTGGGGTCTAGTTTTTTTGGTTCCCATACACTACTTAAGCTCCAGTATAAAACATTTTGTTTTCAATTGTCCCTTTACAGCAGTGTTTCTCAATCTTGGAAGCTTGAAGATGGGTGGACTTCAACTCCCAGAATCCCCCAGCCAGCGCTGCTGGCTGGGGGATTCTGGGAGTTGAAGTCCACCCATCTGGTTGAGAAACACTGCTTTACAGCAATGTTTTTCAAACTTGGCAACTTTAACTTCAACTCTCAGAATTCCTTGGTTGACATGAGTGGACTTCAACTCCCAGAATTTCCCCATCCTGGCTGGGGAATTCTGGGACTTGAAGTTCATATATCTTAACAAGTTTGACAAACCACTGCTTTAAGAGTCGAAGAGACAGAATGTATTCTAGGGTGAGAAGCAATAAAACAACACATGGCACAATGAAGTAACCACATTCTTATTCGTAATCCTCAGATTGGCTTTAGTGGATTCCCTTGTTGTGGGGGAGTGGGGGGTAAAAAGTTAAAACGAAGCTGTCATTTAAAATCCTGCTGGGATTTTAGTGGCAGAAACACCTTCTAGCAAATGTGTTTTACAACCACCTTAGCAGCCATTTTGTGAGAGCACCCACAACATGTTCTCGACATTCATAATGCATTCACATAATGCACAGCAGCAAAATGGGGTACATGGTCAATGAAAGTACACCTCCTTCGCTCCTAGAAGTAAAGCCTCCTTCCAGTCCTTCTTGATTCTTGGCAATCCTAGGAATGGTTGCTCTCTTGGCAAATATTCAGAAGTGGCACACCCTTGCTCTCTTTCAGGATGTTGATTTCTTAACTCTCTCCTTTAGCTACACCCCTGGTATTCCTGATGTTTCCTATCACAGTCCTACACAACTAAATCGCTATGTTTATATCTTGTCAATTTCTCCCTCCCCCCCTCCCCTTTAATCCTTGCCTATTTCAAGTTCCAAGATGCAACGTGTGTCTCTCTTCAGATTCAAGTCGAATCTTTCCAACAACCATGCTCTCGCAAATGTTTTGTGGCTTTGTTTAAGGTTCCTGAGAACAAGCCAAGCAAGGCAAAGAAAGTTCAACTTTGTTTTTCCAAAAAAATGTCTACTGATAAATGGACAAAGCACGAACATTTCAATTACTCAGCAAGGCTTGGTTATACTTTTTATAGCCTGGAAGATATTTAACAGAGGACATTGAGAGGCAGCTTCATGTAGTACTGAAGGTGCTGGCTTAGAAACCAGGAGTCTGGGAGTTCTAGTCCTGCCTTAGGTATGGAAACTAATTGGGTGACTTTGGGCCAATCACCAGGAGGTGGCGAGTTCTAGTCCCACCTTTGGCATGAAAGCCAGCTGGGTGACTTTGGGCCAATCACCAGGAGGTGGTGAGTTCTAGTCCCACCTTTGGCATGAAAACCAATTGGATGATTTTGAGCCAATCACTCTCTCTCTCTCAATCCAACCCACTCACAGGGTTGTTGTTTGGAGGAAATAAGGCAGGCATATGATTACTGCCTGGAATTATATATTAAAAGGTGGGATTAAAAATCTACTAAAATTGATTTGCATTTTTAAAAATTTCTACCTTCTCCCATCTCCTTCAGAGGATAACTGTCATCTCCCTTTCTTAAATCCATCCTGCTTTCTGACTTTGACACATGTTGCATAGATATAGGTGTGTGGGGTCTTTCTGCCTCCCTTAAAAAAATCCCCACCCTGTAGGAAACGGGTTAATGTCTTTTTATAATCCTTGATGAGTGCTTTCTTTCTTTTCCTAAGTAAACATTTGTTCTTCATGGATAATCACTGCAGGATCTCATTAAGAAAATCTTTTAAACAGAACTTAATTAGCCCTTTCTTTTTCTTTTCTTTTCTTTCCTAAATCAGAGGTGAAATAGAAATACATGAAGGTTAGAATTAATACATATATCTATACCCTGACTTTATTTTTATAAATGATTCAAGGTAGCAAAGATATCTGATATTCATTCTCCTGTTTTCCCCATAACAGTCAGAGATGAGTTTCAGCAGGTTCTGACCAGTTCTGGAGAACCGGTAGTGGAAATTTTGAGTAGTTCGGAGAACCGGTAATAAAAATTCTGACTGGCCCCACCCCCATCTATTCTCTGCCTCCTGAGTCCCAGCTGATCGGGAAGAAATGGGGATTTTGCAGTATCCTTCCCCTGGAGTGGGGTGGGAATGGAGATTTTACAGTATCCTTCTCCTGCCACGCCCACCAAGCCATGCCCACCAAGCCATGCCATGCCCATCAAGCCACACCCACAGAACCGGTAGTAAAAAAATTTGAAACGCACCACTGGTAACAGACACCCTTTGCGGTGAGTTGAGCCCATAATAGTAACTGGATGGATCTTGAAATTCTTACCATCTATAGAAAGACCATTTTCCCCTCTTGACTAGGAATGTGCTTGTAAGACTGGAATTCAAGACTGCAGAGTTTTTTTTTTCCATGGTGGGAGAGCCTGAAATGCGCCACTCAGAGAAAATCACACACGCACAATTTATTTAGTTCAACCAGGCCACAAATATGTTGCAAGAAGTGAGTGCAAAACAATCTCTTCATCAGAACTTATTGAGGGAACAGCCTACCTACAATCAAAAGTATTTATCAGGTAGGTGTGAGACACTTCTAAACATTTCCCTGAGATCATAGATGTAGTAGATGAGACTTGATTACACATAGAGTAAGGGTCTGTCTAGCTCTTCCTCATTTACAATTCCACTTATAGATTCCATCGTTTATTCTGGTGGTTAAGGCACCAAGTGAGAAACTTGGAAACTGTGAGTTCAAGTCCCACCTTAGCTGTGAAAGCTGGTTGGGTGACTTTGAGCCAGTCACTCTCTCTCAGCCCATCCTATTTCACAGGTTATTGTTGTAGGGAAAATAGGAGGAGGAATATGAGGTATGATCATGATCTTGAGTTGTTTTGTGGAGTTGGGATCGTAGAAACACCCAGAAGCATAGAAGAGTTCAGAGGCAGATGCATAAATAAATGTCTTAAATGTATTTATTTATATGATAAATCATATTAACTATGTACAACAGAGATCAAGTCTCATGAGGAACAAACATGAAAAGAGAGAGATGGAGAGAGCGAGGTGGAAAAGGTTGGAGGGGGTTTTATACTCAGGGTAAGCACCTCCTTTCCACATAGGGGTGGAGACACTCTCTGCCTCCACTGGTGTCTATATGACACATGTGCCAATGGCTTGCAAATACTTGACATGTTTATTCAAATAATAAAGATGACAGAGGGAGGGAGGGAGAGAAGGAGAGAGAGAGAGAGACAGAGAGAGACAGAGAGAGGGAGGGAGGGAGAGAGAGAGAGACGGAGAGAGAGAGTCTGTAGATATGAATTTTTTTCAGGTGTCTTCAAAAGGCCTTGATAATTTTGGACACATTCTTCCAGATAAGAACATGCATATGCTATAGATAAGAGATAGCTCAAGTATTTTCCCTAACCTTCCCCTAACACATGGGTGAGCCATATGTAACCTTCAGATGTTGCTTAACTTCATCTCGTTAGTATCATTCACTGTTTAGCCCTGTTAAAAAACAAACTGCTCACAAACTGCTACCTGTACATGAGAGTTAGATGCTGTATTTTGACCTATCTACGGAAGAACAGACTTCAGAATGGAATACTGTATCTATCTGGGAGGGAGCAACCTACAGATAACACTGGTTAAAAAAAAAACAATTAAAAACCCCCGAAAAACAAAAAACAGCCACTGTGACACAAAATAACTCTTTAGAAAACTCTGTATGTTGTACAATGTTGCAGAAATCTGTCCTGTCCTGCAGAAAGTCAGGAAGACAGCTGAATTTAGGCCAGGGGTTTCACCCATGAGGTCTGCAACATCTGGTTCAGGATTGAATGCTGGTATCAGGCCAGCCCAAGAACATCCAGGGGCAAAGAATAAAAGGGAATCCCTTTCCTCCAGCTTTGAAAAGCCAGATAAGCCCAATTTGTCTGCTGTTGAAGCAGGCTGATTCATCTCTTGGGCTTCCTTGCTTGTTCTCTTGACACCTGCTGTTTTTCCTAATATTAATTCAAGAGACAGTTTATTCTTTGGTGCAAGTAGTAATGAAGACGAGGCTTTGAGCATAGCAGAGTCCTTTGGATATTGAGATGGGTGGCATGTAAGTTTTAATAAATAAATTAAATGAAAATAGCAGAACCACAGCAATGCATTTTCAATCAAACTCCAGTTCCAGTTTGAAAACAGTAGGAAGGAAAAGAGGAGAGCAAAAGTTCTATAGCACTGATCCAATATGGATCTCCCTGGAGCCATTCTCCCTGAAGGACCGTGCTATTAATTATTGCAATTGGGAACAGAGGTAATGACACTATACAAGAGTCACGTTTTCTCTTAAACTGAGTTTGGCAATTAAACCGGGCCATTTTCTCTCTGCAACATTAGGGCCCCTCGGCTGTTGTCATCTTTATGGATTTTTATTTCTTGCATCTTTGGCATCGGGGATTTCCTTGTGGTCTCCTATCCAAGAATTAAACATGTCTGCCTGCACTTAGTTTGTGCCCGTTTACCATCTATTGCCTTTATTAGGTGAAGTCAAAAGGCTGGCACACTTTTCAGATCATTAGAACTCAGAGGAGAGAGTTGAAGACTTTCCGCTAGACTCGAATTCAGGACCCTCGCGGCTCATATTAATAATATGAGGCTCAACTGGCCTATAATTTCCCCATTCCACCCAGGATTTATACAGGTTTCATGCAATCCTGGCTCGCAGGAATCAGTAGCCGAGTTCTCCTAGAGATGTTAGCGGCCCGAGAAATCCCTAGCCCGTATTCTCATTCCAATGTGGGGTCGCTCCCCCTGGCGTTACGAAGGTGATATTCCGGAGACCAGGGTACACGCCTATGTGGAGACGCTGAAGGGCCAAAGGGGTCTCAATAGGAAGTTCTCAAGCCCCACTCTAGCGCTTTAAGGGGGATCAAATCCCCCTCCAATTCGCAGGACTTCCTTCCGGGCAGGAGGGTAGAGGATCGCCCCGCGTTTCTTGGTTTGGACAGCGGCCGGCCTCCAACCAGGGACACGTGTGTGCGCAACCACACGTGCAGCGCTCCATAGAAAGGCCAGCGATACAGCTCTTCGTCGGAACTCACACTTCCAGAGGCGAAGGCGGCGTGTCACCCGCCAAACTCTCGGACGCCAAGGCGCGCGCACGGGCGCGCTACCTGCCGTCCGCCACTCCTCCGGGACTAGCCCTGTCCTCGCGGGCACCCTGACGGGCAGCTGCCCGCCCCAGTCATTTGCCCAGCATCCTCCCCTGGTCCCGCCTCCCTGCTCTGGCCCCCACTTTTGCACCGAACATCCGGGCTCCTGCCTCTCCTCCAAACACCACACCTCATCCTCCGTTCCCCCCCACCCCCTACGCCTCCCCCAAACCGGGGGAAAAGGGGCGGGCTCGAACGCGCGCGGGGCGGGCTCGTGAGCGCGCCTGCCTGCTTTTGCCTGCCTGTTCATGGCAACTGCAGCTTCAGTCTCGCCTCCCGCTTGGAGCGGCAGGCACGCTGCTCGTCCGTTTCCCGAGCGGCCGAGCCGGCAAGCGATGCCCGAAAGCGAGGCTGCCTATCGCGCTCCGTCTGTCCCCTGCAGCAGCGCCTCCGCCACCTCTTCTCCCGGGCCGAACAGCATAGGCGGCGGGGGTGAAGGAAGAGGAGGAGGAGGACGTGACCGAAGCCGCAGGAGCGACTCACGCTCCGTTTTGATAACCATGTTGGCCGTTGCCTGAGCGGTGCCTGCTCTGGAGACCCCCGGACTCCCCGAGGCAAAGTTTGTTCTGCTGGCTGTCGCCGCCCCTTGCTCTGGACTTAGACGCGCGCGAGCGAGGGAGATTTAATTTAATTGGGGGAGGGGACGGATAATTCTAGTGAGGGGGCTACGCCGCGCCTTCTTCTCCGCCTCCTGGGCTTTTCCTCTGCCCACCCCCTCCTCCTGACGCCGCGGCTGCTGAATAAGAAGACCAAGAAGAGGGACGCTTTGGGAAAGGGGCGGTTGGCGGAAGGCTAGCTGGCCTCTGCCGCCAGCACCCAGCAGATCCGGAGAAGCGGATCCTCTTCTGATGAACGCATCTCCGTGAACTGGAGCGGCAGCCTTGCGCCGGCAACCGGGCAGCCTGCGATCCACCTGTCTTGAGGATTTAAAGCCGCCCCGACATCTCTTCTTGGCTCTCCTGTTGCGGGACTTTGATTGCCGAGAGCTGGGAAGGATTTTAATCCTCCCCTTTCATTGTTGCCGAAAAGGGACAGAGCCAGTTTTCTGAAGTCTGCCTTCCCTCCCAGTCGCCCGCTCATCTCCCCCGCCGACCCTTCCTCGCACCAGCAGACCAGAAGCAGAAGGAAGAGACGGAGACAAAAAGGGACAATGAAGACTTCGTGGCTAACTTTCGCCTTCCTTTGGGGAAGCATTTGCACACGTAAGTATCGGGGAAAGTTTGCGAAGGGCACCTCCTTCTTTGTTAATAAAGGAAAAGGGGTGTGTGAGCTGGGCCTTATAATAATCCTATTATTCACACTAATAATAATAATAATGATTCCCTTAAGAAGACCCAGCAGCATCAAACCCGATGTGCAAACACCTAAATCGGGGAAATACCCCAAGTGTTTAACGGGGCGAGGATTGGTTAACTGGAGAGGGAAAAGGAACAAAAACAAGCGCACTTTGCCGCTGCGGGAGCCACTGGGGGCAATCGTGGCTTCTGCTTCCCTCTCGTTGCCGCGTGTTTTGATCGCGGATCGAAACACGGGAGGGGAGCGGTGTCCCGTTGGAAAGGACCCGAAAGGCCGGTGCGCTAGTAGGAGCGCAAGGCTGCTTCCCGTGAGGCATGTGCTGGGGGAAACAAAGCGGAGCCGGAGAGGAGAGGGTAGCGCGGCTCGGCTTTCCCTTCGCCTCGCGTGCTCCGGCTTTTCGCCCTGGCGAAAAGATAATCTCATTTTCCTTCCAGCACAGGCGCAGGGCGAGCGAGGCCTCGGGTCTTTGCTCCCGGCTCTCGCCAGGCGATGCTTCGCTTCGAATGGGGAGAAAATGCAGGACCTTACAAACAAGATCCCCCTCCTCGCTTTTTCCTCCCCCTTACAAACAAGTTCCCCGGGGATTCCTTTATGCGCGTGGCTCCTCCATCTCTTCCTCCCCTTGCATCCTCTTTTCAAGATAACCCGGTGTGAAACGGCTATCCGAAATCCTGCGGGCGTGAGACGCACCGCCGGCTCCTTCCTAGTGCTGTAGGACGGTTTTGCGTGGTTTGAAAAGCCTCCTTTTCAGCCAGAAAATTGTCGATCCTCCGCGTTTATTGGCGGCAACTACCCGGTGGCTGAACGGATCAGAGCGCTCTTTTCAAACCAGTTTCCAAACGCTGCTGGACGGCGCTGGAGAAGGAGAGCGGCTGACTCTTTCTCCTCCCTGGGGGAATCTTTCAACTTTCGCTCGAGTCGGGCCGGGTTTCTTGGAGGTTGGAGGGTGGGGAAGCAAGCACGTTAGCGGAGAAGTTGCAAATGTAAACAAGCGGATGAGGGTGTCGGCCGGGGTTTGGCAAGGCCCTGCTCCAAAGCAACTTCCCCGAAGGAATTTTATTCCGTGCTGCTTTGCAGGCAGGCTCCCCCCCCCTTTTTTTCTTTTCCCAAACGAAGCTCGACTGTGGGGATCGGGAAGGGATGGGGGGGGGTGCAGATTGGTTTACATTTATGCCTGCCTGGACCGTGTCTGGCTTTTCACTATTTTGGTAATTTCCCCCTTAGGAGGAGACGATCCCGATTGCTAAAAGAAAGGAGCGCGGGGAGGGGAGATGCGCGTGCATGGGGAGCGCGGAGTAAAAAGGGATATTTTTCCAGCCCCGGGCTGCAACTTTGCTGCCAGACCCTTTTCCCTTGTTATGGAAATGTTGCCTTATTGTCCCACCGCACTGATCCCGCTGCAAATCTGCTTTTTCTCTTCCCGCCCCAGTCTTGAGGAGAAGGAGGAGGTGATGATGACGGCGGGGCGGGAGGCGGCGTGTTGCGCCTTCCTTTCTTTCGCTCAGCAAACCTTCCACCAGCGCCGGGAGGCGAGCATTGGCGCGTAAGGGGTGGGGGGTCTCACTAGCCCAGCTTTTGTTACGCGTTCTTCCTCCCCCCCCCCACCTCCTTGTTTGGATGACTTTAGGAGATGGGGGAGGGGTATCACCCTTCGGATGGGGTGGGGGGTGGGGAATTGGAGCAACGTCGACCACGGTGGTGGCGGCAGCAACAGCAGTAGCCGCCGCCGGCGGCTTGGCCGAAAACGCGGCGCGCGCAACACGCCGATCTCGTGGCCGCGGGATAACAACAACAGGGAGCGCTGACGTCACTGGACGGCGCGGGAGGGGAGGGGGCGGTGGGGCTTGGACCCTGGAAAGCATCGGCCGAGCGTTCGCACGGCTGCCCCCTACTCCCCCCCCCTCAGGGAGCCTTCCCAAGGCTTAATAGGGATAGAAAAGGGGGTCCCTCTATTTGGCGAGGGTGGTTGCGTGTCCTGAGCTCTCCCGTTGGCTTGCTTCGGTTCTGGGCATAAATTGTCCCACGCTACCCTTTGCCCAGCCTGTTTGCTGCGCGAGCATCTTTCCGCAAGCTGCAAGATGCTGCTCAGTTGGTTTGCTAGGTTTCTTTCCCCCTCCCCGCCGCCCCTCTTACGGGGTACCATCGGCTACTCCTCTCTTTTAGGAACGGGCCTCAGGATGCTCCTTCCACCCTCTCAGAGTTCCCCCAACAAAGCACTCGGGGAGGAGGGAACCCCCGTCCTCCGTAGCTCTTCTGTGCCACGCTAGATACATGTAGGTCCCCCCCCCCCCGTCTCCCTTTAACCGTTTCCTCCCTCCTTTCATGTCCGCGGCTCCTGCAGATTCGTTTTTGAGCGGGCTCGAAATCCTGGCAGGGGTTAAAGCCGGCGAAGTGTCTGCTTCGCTGGGTTTTCTTTGTTCAGGATACCCATTATACATTCACTGTCACTGCCTCCTCGCCGGTCGGTGCTGTAAACAAAGCTCGCTCCATTTTCCTTTTCTCTCCGTCCCCCCCCCCCCCGCATTTTAATGCAGCTTCAATGTGCAAAAAAAAAAAAAAAAAGCATTTTGCAGTGTGCGCTAGTGGTCCAAACACCCAGGCATTGCTTGAATTGAGCTGCGAGGTCTTTCGGAGAAATTCTGCTGGCACGGAAAGCCCACTGGTACCATCTAGAGATTTCTGGAAAGACCAGGATAGGTTGGAGCAACAACATCAGATGTGTGGCTGTGTGCTTGCAGTATCAGAATTCTGCATGCCTGCAGCCACCAACTGCTCCCCATTTTGGAAACATGATTTATATGAAGGAGCTATTTTTAGGTCATCTCTCTCCTGTGTGATTTTTGTTTTAAAAAGATTTTTTTTTATCTGCTGCGCTTGCTTATTTGAGCAGAAAAACCTTGCTTATTTGTCCTTCCTATCACTCTCTAAAACAAAATCGGTGTTTTTGTGTTGGAACCGTGCTTATATTTATACCCATGCTGGAATGCAATTAAAAGTTGCCTTTCAGAAATAACACAGCAGCTTGTTTGTGAGGCTTTTGCTGGCTTTCTTAAAATGTAATTCTGAAAATTTAAATAAGAAGGATGGGAATAGTGAGGCTATCCCTGGGGATAAGTAAACAGTTAACCCCGGCTGCCTTTTAAAAGGTAGTTTTAAGGAAGCTTAAATTCCTATAGCTGCCTAGAAATGCTTAGCTGGAAAGCTGTAACTGAAGTGTTGTAGCCTTATGTTTGTGTATGCATGATATCTCTCTGTGTGCATGCCTGTGTATTGCATATGGATAGCCGGTGATACTGATAACCTGAATAAGTCACTAGCAGACTGTCAGGTTCCTTTTTTTAAAATGCCAAGCCATCAGGCCTCTTCCTAAAAGAGAGGAGCAGCCAATGGCATCCTGTAAAAAAACGATGGTTGGGTACTTTGCTTATCTGTTTGAGTATACACACACTTGGTGATATGGCCACGTTCTTCTCTATGGTTTTGTTTGCCAATTATCCCGTAACTCAACTCTTCAGAAACGGCTCATTTTCCCCGTTGCTGTGAACAGAAATCTGCCTTGTAAGAATAGCAGTTCCTGGTAGAAAACAACAAAAGTTCACCTTACTTTCTTAAAAAGCAATCAATTGTATCCCAAACACTTTTCCAGAGCCTTTCTTCATTTATCCTCTTGTGCCTGAGACCAGTTTCATTAGCTTGCTAATTAAACTCAACGAACTGCTGTGCCGAAGTTAATGGTGCCGGGTCTTTTAAAACACAAACTCTTGAACTATTGTCCAAGACCCTATTAACAAAAATCTATGGTTAGATATAGATTGTGCCACTCTAAATATCAGGACTCTTCGACGATTGTGGTACTTACTTTAAAGGAAATTTATGCCCAATGAATAGTCCTCCTAAACCTGTTTACCAAAGAGTAATCCAACACTGAATTAGAAGCCAGGAAAAACAAAAATCAGTGTGATGGCTGAGGTTTAGGACAGAGATTTCCAATCTTGGCAACTTCTGGACTACAACTCCCAGAATTCCCCAGCAAACCATTCTGGGAGTTGAAGTGCACAAGTTTTAAAGTTACCAAGGTTGTTGGCAACTTTTAAGTTGACAATCCTTGTTTAGAAGAATTGTCTCTCTCTCTCTCTCTCTCAGCTTCTCCTGATTTAAAGGTTTATCACTCCATAAAGGTTACAGCCATTCTTTTAACAACTGGTTGAAGTTAAAATGGCACTGGAAAAAAAAAGTCATTTATGACCAGTCCTAGCACTTATGGTCATCACAGCATTGCTATAGTCACGTGTTCAAAATTCAGGTGCTTGGCAACCAAGCTATGATGGGTTGCAGGTCCTGGATTCATGTGAGTCCCCGTTTACGACCTTCGCAGCCGGCTTCTGACAAGCAAAGTCAGTAGGGGAAGCCACATTCAGTTAATAACTCTGATTCACTTAAGAACCGCTTAACGATCATGACAAAGAAGGTCATTAAATCGGGCATGACTTAATTTAATGGCCAGCAGAAATCCTGGTCCCAATTGTTAGTTATCACCTTTAAAGTGCTCCATGGCTTAGGACCTGGGTACCTACGAGACCGTCTTTTGCCACCAATAGCCTCCCACCGACCAGTTCGTTCTCACAGGGAGGGACTACTCAGGGTACTGTCAGTCAAATTATGTCGACTGGCGACTCCCAGGGGGAGGGCCTTCTCTGTGGGGGGCTCCAACCCTTTGGAATGAACTGCCCCCGGAGATACGGAATATCCCTGATCTCCGTGCTTTCCGCCGTGCCCTCAAGACCCTGATGTTCCAACAGGCGGGGCTAAACATACGAACATGTGAATGATTTTTTAAATGTTATCTAATTCTGGGTTTTATTTGATTGACCAAACTAAGTAATAATTTTAATTAGCAATTTTATGA